AGCGGAAGGCAAAATGTAAGATGAAACGAAATCTGAAAGTTAAATTTCTACCTTCTAATGGTTACGTTTAAAGGAGGTTCCAAGAATAAAAATTAGTAGCTCAAAAATATTTTAATTAAATAAAAACAATTTGTTTTAAGAGTGCTTTAATTAAAAGAAGGTTAATGACTTTAATTGAAAAATGTTTTAATTTTTGTTTTAATTAAAAAAAAATTGTTTTAATTTTGATGTTTTAAGAAAAAAAGTTTTAATGAAGAAACTAAATATGTTAATTTTATTTTTCAAGAAAGGTTTTTAATTTATTACAAAAATGTTTGAGTTAGAATAACAAGAGATTATGATAAAGAACTAATTAAAAGGTTTATACGTTTTTTATTAAATTAACAAAGATGAATATAATGACATAAGTAACACAAACAGCCACACAGATTCACTAGGGTTTCTCCTAACCCTCTCTTCGTCTTCTTTTCCTCATCGCGGCGGCCATTGGAGCATTTTTCCGAGCTTTCCGCTTCCGTTTCTTCGTTGCCATCTCTTCTTTCTTCTTCTGCACGCGTCGCATTTTCCTTCTCCTATAATACCTGAAAACCCCATGAAAAAAGAAACAGAGAAACAAATGGTGAGATCCTTACCGCTGTTGATTCACGGTGAAGAGCCGATGATGAGACTTCTATGAGGCTTTGAGTTTCGCTCGAACGACGGCGGTAGTGATCCTTTTCACGGCCGCCACTCGGTTCGCCATGCTTTGTCCACTGTTCTCGCCGTTGATGATATTTTGAGGAATGATTGCAGCCGGTGATGATGAAAGTCTGAGGCCAGTTTGCGGTTGTGAGCTGAGGTTGAAGTCGGATTTCCCGCCGTTTCTTCGATGAGTGGTGATGGCGATCTTCTCCCTCGAGTTCTGCGGTGTTCTTCCTTTGGGGATGATGATGAAACTCTATGAGTTTTTGAATCCGCCGCTCCCTTTTTGCTTAGGGTTCCTCCCTTTTTCTGAACTCTTATGATGGCTTTTATATGTTGTTCATGATTTTGTTCACGGGCCTGGATGATAATCTGATTAAATCTGGATCCATGGGTTCTCTGATTCTTAGGAACTTTTTGACGGTTTTGTGTTGTTCTTGTGGGCTGGATGATCCGCGAAAAAAATTGGGTTGCCTTCGGATTTTTCGTTTGATTCTGTTGGCTCAATCTTTATGCCTTGCTTGCTGACTATTTATGAAGATTGTTGGTTTTCGTTTTTCCATCTCAAATTGCTGCGTTTTTTACGGCTGGAAATCTGATTGAGTTTGTTGCGTTGATTTTGGCTACATAAATGTTACGTCTTTGTTGTTGGATCAGCGTTTGATCCGTTGACTTCAAAATTTTTGGGAACTTGTTGTTTGTCCGTGTTTGGCCGAAAATCACTTTGAATAAGTGCTTATTCAAATAAGTGCTTTTTTTAGATAAACACTTTTTTGGATAAGCACTTTTCAAACCAGCTTATTTTTAAAGCGCTTTTCCGCAAATCTCTCTCTCTCTCTCTCTCTCTCTCTCTCTCTCTCTCTCTCTCTCTCTCTCTCTCTCTCTCTCTCTCTCTCTCTCTCTCTCTCTCTCTCTCTCTCTCTCTCTCTCTCTCTCTCTCTCTCTCTCTAATGGAAGCCTTAAGAACATAAATTGTCGGTCTTTGCTTATTGTTGAGAAATAAGTCGGGAGTCAGCTTCAGAGTAGTTCGTTGCCCTCCCGACACGCCCGGTGATGAAACTTTTCTGAGGGTATCAGAACTTACTAACCGATTAAATTTTTTTTTGCTTTGTTGACTTTTTACAGGTAGGGAGAAAATTCGTAAATTCGAAGAAAGTCGAAGAAATCGAATAATCAGAAAAACTTAGGATTATTATTTTTTTGAAATTTTCATGTAACAAAATGTAAATTGATATTTTTGTAATTTTATTTTTATTATTTTTGTTATCTTTGTAAAGAATTTCATTTTTTATATAATAAAATTATTCAAATTTTAGATTAAACAATATTATTATTAAAAATAAAATAAAAGATATTATTGTAAAATAAAATGCCTGTTTTAGTCTTTTTAAATGAAAATCAAATTAATAAAATCAATCAAAAAAATGAGTGAGAACAATATAAAAAAAGATATTAAGATGAAATAAGAATTAATTGAAAATGAAATGAAAATAAAAAAATTAAAGTGAAATATAATTAGTTTGTAAATGAAATAAAGTTATTTTTGTTATTTTTGATTAAAAATAAGATGAAAACCCCACTAAAATTCTACCTTTTTATTAACTCAAAAATTCGTCCAATTTATCCGATTAACTTCGTCTCCGACACGATCTTCCGACTAATCTTTCCGGCAACTCAAACGAAATTATTTCTCGGAATAAAATTCCACCCTTCGATTAAACTCAACATGAACAAAATCTCCGGCCAACTTCAGTCCAACCTTGAATTAACTTAATTTCGAACAGCTCGAAATTCTCCTCAATCAAACGCTCTTAGCTGCGCCTCGGCCCTGACTCACAACACAATATCCAAACAACCCAACTTTCCCGACCACAGCTCAAAGTTTGTAAATTGACGGCCGACCGCAAACAAATGACCATTTTACCCTTCATGAACTATAAAAGCGCGCCACACGATATTTTTCTGCAAACTTGTTAGTGACTGGTTAAATGCAATATAAAATGCAATGGAATGCGAGATGAAACGACGAATCTTATGGCAAAATTTGGGGTATTACAGTCACTTTACATTACCAATAAATAATCAATTATATTTTTCCTATTATACCCTTAAAAGTTTATTATCATATCTCCTTTCAATTATGTAAATTTATCGTCTTCATATCGTTAATGAAGGACAATTTTGTAAAAAATATTCATAACTTTTCATTTTCATACAACAATCATTATTTTTTTATACGTGTGAAAAATCCAAAACGACTTATAATAAAAATGGAGGTAGTACTAAGTAACTAACATAATAAACTCTAACCCTTATTAACTTGGGCTTGAGCTACAATTTAGATTATATCACAACATATTATAAAAGACAATTTACTTTTTAAATTCATTAAATAATTAATGTATCTGATTATTCATTATTTAATGAATCTAAAAAATAAATTGTTTTTTATAAATAAGACCGAAAAGAATAACTCGTTTGAGAGAAAATAGATCCTTTCCAATCCTACCTCATATGTTCAACCATTTTTATTATTCTAAAAATCCATGAAAAACGAATAAATAAATAAAGGGTCATGCTAACAAATGTTTCAGAGACACTCTTGACAGATTTCAAATAAAGAAAATATTTTTTTAAAAAAATAATTATTTCAATTTTCAATACATTGAAGACATGTATTTTTAATTAAAAAAACTAGTATTTTTAATTCACTGAAAAATATCTCTAGGACACTCTTTAACATTTTTCTAATTATAAAAAAAATTAGAAAAAGGATTAAAATTATAAGTGAACACAAGATGAGACAATGCATAAGAAAGGATCTAAATCCCATTTGAAGTGTTTCACACATCACTCGATAAAACCAAAATAAAAATAAATAAGAAAGGATCTAAATCTCATTTGTAGTGTTTCACACATCAATCGATAAAACCAAAATAAAAATAAAGAAGTATTGATAAACACACGTATATGGATCTCTATATACATTTCACCTTTTATCCTTTTGCTTAATAGTCTCTGTTTTTTTATTATTTAATATTTTATTATCTACTTTATTGATATTGAAATATATAATTAATTCTATATTAAAGATCTATAAGTTATTTTATAAATTATTTTTCTATAAAAAAATAAAGTAAGAAAATAATAAATAATTACAAATATAATTAAACTACTCTTTGTTTTAAAATCTAAAAATAAAGAATTCCTTATTTTAAAATGACTGTCGTTTTAACAAATAAAATTTATTTTAAAAGAATGTTATTCTTATTTTTTAATTTAAAATGATTATTATTTTTTTCAATTATATCTTTTAATTATTATTTTGTAACAATATTTTTAACACATTTAATCTAATAAAAATGGAATACAGTATCTTATAACAATATTATTAACTTCTTTAATTTATGTTGAAAAATCTTAAAAATCATTCAACTTGAAAAGAATGGAATAATAAAGTGACTAGTATTTTGTTACAACAAGTAATACAAAATTGATTCATGATTTATTGAAAATTGCGGTCAATAATTCCAAACAAGTTTTATTAGACACCAAAGTCAACAACTTCAACCCTTTATTTTAGCGCCAAAATTCTTCATATTTATCACACTTATTACTTTCCTTTAAATATTTAATAAACCTTTTATATCTAACTCAAAACAGAATCTCCTGTTTTAAACCCCATACACCTCATACAAACCAACCAATCACCAAATCACACGTATACCTCATCCACGAGTACCGCGCGCAGGAGATAGTAATAAAACCTCCGTTATCTCATCGAAAAACGCCTTTAAATCCAACGGATGAAAACAAAAGAAATCGATAGTTCTATGAATTTATACCGCACGATAAGAACCTTCATCAAGAACCGCACGATGAGAACCTTGACGAGATCTAACCGTTGATTATTTACGAAAAAATTGAAATTCAAAAGCTCGTGAAAAAGAGGGAGTAGAAGAAGAAGAGAAGAAGAAGAAGAAGAAGACGACGAAGCGTCCTTTTCTTCTCTTCTGAAATTTTTGCAGAGAGATTCTTCTTTTTTGTTCTGTTTTCTGTGTTACTGTGTTGTTATTCAGATCGAATTCTTGAATCAGTTAGCTTTTGATTTTGGAGATTCACCTTCGGCTTCACAGTCCCGCGCGCCGTTTTCTGCTTTGTGTATTTTCGATTTTGGATCTAAACCTTGTTTAATTTCAGCTTCTTTCGTTAATTGGAGTTAATTATTCGCTAATCGTTGTTATTGATTGGGGGAATAATCGGTGAGTGAAGTAAAATTTTTGATTTTGTTTTTTGTGTGTGATTTTTTGGGTGATTCAATGGGGGAAGGTGAGGGGAGTGATATCCCTCCTAAAAACGTACTGTTTGATTCCGTTTCGGCTTCGAATTCGAAGAAGCTTGCTAGGCAGCTCGATTTCAACAATTTTGGTGGGACTCAGGTGACTGTACCTTTGCCGGAACAATCGCAGCCTCCGGCGACACTGCCTCCTCTTCCTTCAGCCAAATTGGGGGTGAGTATTAGAATAAAGTTATCTTTTTTTTTTTTTATGTTATAGTTTGAAATTCTGGAATTTGAAATTTTGTGTTTTGTTTATTGTTTTGAATTTAAAATTGTTAGCCACGTTTTTAGTTTGTAATTAGCTTAATTTGTGTATTTGTTGTTATTCATTCTCTTTGTATTTAATCTTTGTATAATTAATTGCCTCTGATGGATAACTTTTTAGTTGTGTGATGTAATGTGATATCCCCTTCTTATTGAGGAGATGGTATAGTGTTTGATTAGGTTTCAGAAGCTTAAAATTGGTTAGGAAATTGACTTTCTAATATGGTTTGTAGATTTTATTATAGTGATTTTTTTGATCTGGTTTCAGCTTTCAGCTGTTAAAAAATTAGATACATGTGATAATTAATTAATCTTATGTTCTGGTCAATTTAGTATATTTTTTTTTTTCATTGAAGTATAAGTTATTGGTTCAAATTCAATAATGAGCTTTTTTTGGACGTTTTTCTTCTTCATAAAAAGCTAACAGTAGCATTCCTTTTTGAAGTTCTCCATTAATGTTTATCTGATTCAGGAAACCAGAATCTCCAAAGTCAAAATCAAGAGCCAACTCTGAGACAAAAGATGCTACTCCAAAGAAGCAAAAACAGTGCAATTGTAAACATTCAAAATGCTTAAAGCTGTGAGCAAATTCCTCTCTCTTACTTTCTCTCTGCACTTGTTCTTGCAATTTTGCTGCAACTTATTGGCTGCAATAAGAAGCTATGTGAAGCTAACATTCAAGTAACTTCTGCAGATATTGTGAATGTTTTGCGTCGGGAATATATTGTGATGGTTGCAACTGTGTAAATTGTTTTAACAATGTTGACAATGAAGCTGCTAGACGAGAAGCTGTTGAAGCAACTTTAGAACGCAATCCAAATGCTTTTAGGCCAAAAATTGCAAGCAGCCCTCATGGTACACGTGAGAACAGGGTATGCAGGCTTAACTTTTTGAAACAGCTGATGATGTATGTTATGTTTTGATTTTTGTTTTTGCATTGATGTCAGTTTGAGATATTGCATTTCTTTACTAGATCTGCTGTTGGGCAGCATTGTCTATTATCTTTGATTACTAGTGTTGTTTTAGCTCAGTGAGGATTTTTGTGGAAATTTCTGTTCTATTAGATGCATCATTCCACAGTGGCCTTTTCTGTATGACTTTGAGAACCGTTTTTTTTTTCTTCTGTTAAACATTATTACCTAGTGCAACGGTTGTATTTGTCTTTTATATATCACTATGTTGATGTTTTCATCCAGTTACTACCTCCTTCTCAAATTATAAGTCACATTGCAAAAAAAGTTATCCCAATTTATATGTCACTCTATAATTCCAATTTCCAATGCAACATTAATGACTTTTTCCTGTGTATACCCTCTACTATTTATTATTTTTACTTCATCCAATTCTTTTAGTATCATTTTTCTATTTTAATTAATAAAGGACAGTATCGAAAAGTCATACATAATTTCTCTTTCCCAATACATGATTAATTATGTTACTTAATTTGTGTGAAATCTCTTTTCTATTTTAAGTAATAAAGGACAGTATTGTAAAGTCACACATAATTTCTCCTTCCCGTACAAGATTAATTATGTTACTTAATTTGTGTGAAATACCTAAAACGACTTATAATTTGGGGTGGAGGGAGTATAATTTAGGTAAATTCCTTTTGTGGATCTTCTTAAATGTTTTCTCTGTCAATGAAACCAGAGCTTTTCAGTTGTTTTCTTATTTACAGTGTTTTCCTTTTATTAGCAACAAGAGAATAAAGTCCTATATAAATACCCACAATTTAAAATGAAGTAATTCATGCTATTGATATTTTCAACCGCACTCCTATAAGAGTGGGTATGCACCAGAAGTTGGGCTTCTGATGGTATGAAACTATGACATGACAGGAGCCTGTTATTAAAATACCTTAAAATCAAAATACATGACATACTAATATTTTCTGAAGCCAGCCATTGGTCTTGCATTGAAAAATGTGTTGCCTTTTCCTTTTTGCTTGCTCCAAACATTTTTCATTCTTATGCTTCTATGAACTTCAAAATGAATGTAGGAGGAGGCTGGGGAAGTTTTAATATTGGGAAAGCACAACAAGGGGTGCCATTGTAAAAAATCTGGGTGCCTCAAGAAGTACTGTGAATGTTTCCAAGCCAACATTCTTTGTTCTGAAAATTGTAAATGCATGGATTGCAAAAACTTTGAAGGAAGTGAAGAGCGGCAAGCTTTGTTCCATGGAGATCAAAACAATAATATGGTGTTTATTCAGCAAGCAGCCAATGCTGCCATAACTGGAGCTATTGGTTCCTCTGGTTATTCCTCACCACCAGTATCGAGAAAAAGAAAAGGTTCAGAACTCTGGCCGTCCGTCAAGGATCCATCTGTTAGCAAGCTGGGACAACAGGTAAAACTTGACAGTACTATACGTAGTTCAGGGTTTTATTTTAACTTGGAAATTGGCTAAACCAGAGAAATGGAATTGAGACATTAGGAGTGAGGAACTAGATTCATTAGGAGTTGACAATTTCTCCCAGTTAAATAAAAAGATGCATTTAAACTTGATTTTGTATATTTATTCAAATTGATATAGGGTGTGGTTCTTTTGATTTGGTCCAATGTGTTCATTTCAACTCAAGCCCATGAGGAGAGCCAGGCTGTCTCAAAAAGCTATCATATATTAGAGAGGAAGACCTCATTGCTTTGATAAGTACAATATCAAGCTTCCATCTTTGCTCAATGTGGGATATAATGTTGTACACACCTCCAGAAGCTTGAGTTTGCGATGACCCAATCTGGTTGCCCACTCATAGTGGAATTCATGCTAACCTCTTTGATGCAGATTAAGGGTTTAATTTTCACATAGAATAGCATTTCCTTTGGCTTCTCAATCTTTGATTGCTTTTTCCCAAGCCTTGGTCCACCTTCAGTGATTTTCTATGAAAACACCATTTGTTATGACGACTCAAGCTCACAGTGAGAGTGCATTCCAAAAGTTCGACCTTTTCTCATGGCTTAATTACCACATTGAGTTTCTATATTTTCTTAATGTGGAACATTCTCAGCTTCTAATCTTATAATTGAATGAATAAAGAAAAATCTAGTCTATAACTATGCGGCTGAAAAGTGTGCTTCAATACCATGATAACTTTACCTCAGGTCTAAAATTGTTCATCCCGAAGCTAAATTGCTAGTTCACATAAGCTTCCTGCAGTTGAGAGCGGAATTTATTAATGGCTTTTATATTACTCAATTTATGCTAAGTAACGTTGTGTTTTTATTTTTGTCATGCTTATCAGGCAAATCCTGTCAGAGGTCCTGGAGCACCCTCCTCAGCCTTGTCTCCTGTCCCAGTTCCTCGAGTTGGACCTTCATCATTAGGCCCTTCAAAATTTATGTACAGGTAGGACTGGTTAAATTCATGAAATGTTTACTTATATACTTGATTTAGACATTTGGTGATTAACTTGATTGCTGTTGAAGGTCTCTTTTAGCAGACATCATACAACCACAGCACCTGAAAGAGCTGTGCTCTGTTCTAGTGCTAGTAGCTGGACAAGCCACTAAAACACTTGCAGGTATATAGACATTTTAAAATTTTCAATCATCAATTGTTTTATTTGTTTTAGAAATACAAATACAATTGTGTGTTTTCTTTCAATCTTCCTTATGTGAATGTACTGGTATTAATTTGGAAAGGATTTTTCTCAGCTCTGCATATGTTCCGTACCTTTTTCCCTTTCCAAACGAATCCCAAGAAATTTGAGTAACTCAATTTAATGAGCGGGCACTGTTTATTATGGTTGATTCTGTGTCTTGTAAAATGAATTGTGTTTAATCACATCAAACAACTTTATAAATAAAACTCTAGACTGAATTGCATCAGATCGGAATATAAGAAACCAAACAAAAATTTCAACCACAACCACGGTATGGTTAAGAATATTTATTCACCAATCTCAATGGATTGACAAATAGATTTGGCCAGATAATTATCAAAGAAGGGGGGCTATAAGGTTGGTTTGGTGGCTGGGATCGGGGAGTTAAGGATTGGAGTGATAAAGAAGTCGAGGGTTTGTTTTCCACTTCCAGTATACTTATGCTTACAATATTAACATTGACCGTTTCAAAACAAAAGATAATTATCAAAGAAAACTCATCTCACTTTTACTGGCCTTGCTGACATTGTGGTCAAACTAGTTTGAGAATTTGATTCGCTAAATAATAAATTATGAATAGTAAAGACAACCTTTCTCAGATGTCATTTGTTGATTGAGCTGTAAACAACATTTTCCTCTATGGGAAAAGCAGAAAAGGAAGTGTGATCATTCTATGGTGCATCAAAATGTTTGGTAATCTTGCCCTGTTGGCAGTGTTGTTTTCCATTAGATAACTGTAGTGAATTTGAGGTTAAGGAGAGTAACTGAGATACCTCTATGTTTAACTGATGTGTATTCTTTTGAAGTTTGAGTTGACAATTCCAATTGTTACCAACCAATATCAACTTTATTGATGTACAATCTGTGTCTTTTCTCTCACCCATTATTGTTATTAATATGTGTAGACCAGAAAAATTTAATTGATAAGCACACAGAAGATCGGACAGAAACTTCTCTTGCTTCTTCAAATCAAGAGCAATTGCCAAATCAAAAGGAACCTGATATTGAGAAAGCTATGGCTGATGATTGTTCTAGTGCAAACCAAACTGATAAAACCAGTCCGGAAAATTCCAGTTCAGATGGTGCTGATGTTTCAAAAGGGAGGCCAATGTCTCCTGGAACTCTAGCATTGATGTGTGATGAGCAAGATACAATGTTCATCACTGCGGCCCCCTCTACTGGGTCAATGGCCCATGCTTGCAACACATCTTCACAATTGCCTCGTGGACAAGGAGCAACAGAGGTCTATGCAGAGCAAGAAAGAATTGTATTGACGAAATTCAGAGATTTTCTTAATAGGGTTATCACTATGGGAGAAATAAATGGCAAGTGAATATTTTCCTCTTCTATAGTTATAGTTTTTCTCTACAAAAATTTCTTAAAAACCCATTAAATAGCATTTGAACATTTGAAAAAAGACACCTTCAACTTTCAATTTAGTGACTGATATCGAACACCAACTTTTGAAAATTATTCATTTTGCATCAAATATAGGGGTGGTTCTTATTTTTGCTAGTTACAAGTAAACTTTGGCTATGTCACAACTAATTCTTTAAACTTTAAAGTGCCTAATTTATATTCCTAATTTCAGAAACAAAGTGTTCTTCATTAGCCAGAAGCGAGTTAGAGATTCAAAAGGACCCAATCATCAATAGCACTGAAAATGCGAGTACTGCGGCAGCACATCAGCAGGGACTGGGAGCCACCAGCAACGGTGTTACTAAAGCCGTCAGCAACCCCACCACTTCAACATCTTTGGTCCCTTGTAGTTTTGTTTCAGAAAATGGGGAAATTAAGCCGAAGGTCGAAAAATAGATATAAAAGAAGTCTAACTTAGATGAGCAGAGATACCATTTGGAAGAAAATGAGAAGAATGTTGGGAAGGTGTGTTCTTTGTAATGGAAAAACAATGCCATTCTTCATTTTCTGGCTTTCCAGCAATTCAAGTCTACAGAACCATTAGTCCGACTGAGATTCATTTTCTTTTATCAATTTTGTTGTTCTAATTCATATATGTATCTGAATTAACCATTCAGCTTCCAAATAGCATGTAAATTACAGAGTTAATTAGTTCTTGTATTCATACAGAAAGAATTTTTCAGGTCGACCCGAGCACATTATAAACTGTTCCATTTTTAATAGCTGACTTATGTCTGATGAGATTAATTTTTCAAATAATATCATAAGATTGAAAACCCAGAATATAAATCGTTCTACATAATTCATAAAAAAATGTTCTATAATTGCACCGCCTATGATTCTTCTGCCATTTAAGTACTTGTATTATAGATACGTTATTATCATAATAAAAGCTTTGGAAGGCTTTGCTTGATCCTCATAATACGTTAATATTAAACATGATTATGTTAAACTTGATTATGTTGCTCAAACTTTAAAATTAAAAAAATATAAAAGACAGATCAATCTACAAAGAACTACGCCATTCTTACCCCAAAAGAAAGAAAAGAACTACATCTTTAGAATACAGGGCCAAAAATAGGGGTTAATCACTTAATCCTAAACTTAGTGATTAGATTATATTTGTGACAGCATTTCCCTTTTTATCAGGACCTTGAAACTCGTCAAATATTCCAGCTGAATTTGGTCTATCAGGTCGGAGCCTATATTCATCGGCTTGAATGATATCCTCAAGAATTTTATTAATAACATTTCCTTTAATCTGCATTCATTGAAAGATAACAAATAACATCAAAGATTAGAGATTTCATGAGCCATGGTCAAATAACATAAGCTCGTTGCTTGATAAAATAATCACTTCTTTTTGTAATTTCATAAGAGCATTTTAAACAACAAATGGTTGAAGACCAAACAAAATATAAATCTTGTGTGAGGCTAGAGCCTAACCTTAATTCCAATAGCAATGGCAGTTTTCAATTTAACAAGTTCACCTAATCTCAAAGAACCTTCTTTATTATCCTTAACAAAGATCAGAGGCACGCTCCTTGATGCAGCCAAACTTTGCAGATGCTTTGTTAGCCAACGCGGGTTACAGTCAGAAGCTACAAGCACAGCCTGTGTTATAAAATAAAATGTGAATATTTTCTCTTCATGAGTTACTATAAAATAAAGCCACATGCCCACACCAGAAGGAGCGATAAGTACTTTAACCGAAGATTTACATTTCTACATGGCAGAATAGAGGAAATCAACCTGAAGTTTAACTGAAGATGTTTTATAATTGCTTGTGATTGAAGGGAGGAGTTGAGCTGACTTTTCAAACTCGGCACACGGCTTCATACGCTCAAGGACGCGAGTTACGTCATTGACCCCTATAGCAAATTGTTGCTGCAAATGAGCCACATAAATGTTATATGGCAATGCAAGATTCAGGCAGATTACTAAATTCATTAATATGTTTTTTACTTCGGAAAATCAAGTTGTCGTTAACCTTAATCCATATCTTTTCTGGCAAGGAACTTCCATCTAAATGTCTTGTGGATTCAATTCCCCTGCTCATCAAAATAACCACTTGCAAGATCAGGAGAGAAATTGCACAAATTATTGATTACTTACAAAAACTAAACTAAACTTAGTTCAAAAGTTCACTCTAAAAACTGTTAAATCTTCATTCAGACCCTCCCCTCAGCTTCAGCAAACATCATTATAGAGCAAATCATGTTAGAAGCTTAATTAAAACACAAAACAACACATCGAAAACTAAGCCTACGTTTGGCTCCACAATGAACCTCCCATAGTCAAGTTTATATTAATCAAACATGATTGACTTAAAATTGTTATGCTAGTCCCAAAATCAATTCTACCTTTCGGTGAAAATAAATGATTTTGAGTGAATTAATTATATAAAATTGATTCTGGTTAAAAGTGAGTTGAATGTAAAGTGATTTATGTTTGGATAACTTCATACAAAATTGAGTTGAACAGTAAATTTCAATGTAAAAATCACATTTAAACTCAAAAGCTACAAATTTTAGCTTCATGTAGAATCAATTCTACTTTAGAAGAATCAAACACCTCAAAATCATTCCAAAATCAATTCTACACTTCTAAAATAGCTTTACCAACCACACACTGATATTTTTAGCTTTAGCTTCTTCAATAACATATAATTGATTTTAATGTAAACTGATTAGTGCTTGGACACATACATACATATAAAAACCTAATAGAATATCATAATCTAACAACATCCAAACATAAATATTTTTCGTTCGACTCAGTTTCAATCAGAATCAATTTATTCAAAATCAATTTAGTCCCTACATAACCAAACACATGACAAGCATTTTACCTAAGGATTGATTGGAGCAGATTGGTTAGACGTTCTCCTTCATAGCAACTGCAGAAAGTAACAACAATGATATAAGAGCACAAAAATCAGAGATAAAGCATACAAATTGAGCAATATAAGATGGGAAAAGTGGAAGTGCATACTTAATTTCTAGGGTTGTTGAGTTTGAATTGTTTGCGTGCTTCTTTGGAGTTTTGGTATTGCTTGTACTACTCATCCTCTACTCTCAAATTTTCAATTCACTTTTATGAACAATAACAAAATAGGTTCGATTATAACTCTTCAAACAACAAAGATTATTGGAATCGAGAGAGAAAAATTCAACACAGAAGAAGAAGAAAAAGGGAGTATTAGCGACTAGTTTCAAATTTATACGTGTGATTCAAACTTCGTTCTTCCCTTTTGCTGCGTTTCGGATGAAATTAAATTCTGCACTCACTAAAATCACACATTTACTACCTCGGCTCATTAATCACCGTTCGATTAATATTGATGATTTAATAAAATACATATTTTTATTTGGTTTAAACTAATCCTCTATTTTTATGTCATTTAAAATTTAGTCCTTTATTTTAAAAACCAGTTTTTATTCCTAAAGTTTATTTCTCTTAGTTTTTCATGATCTCACTCCATTTGACAGTGTCATTAATGATGTGACAACAATATTATAGATTCGTGTCACTTTTTTTTTTAATATTTAAATGATTTAACTTATATTTTATTTTACAAAATATTTGTAATTTGTGTAAATCATTTTAATGACTTGGATTATTTATTATATTTTTTATAGATTAATTTTATTTATTTAATTTTATAATTGTATTATTTTGAAATTATTTAATATAAACTTTAAAAATAATTTTGGACATAGGGCCAATTCCATGTAAAATTAATCCAACACAGAAGTTTTTACCCAGCATAAGAAGCCATAACAAGAAAAGATCACATGAAAAAACAATCTCATAATTATCATTGACAGCAAATAATTAGTAGAACTTTAGAAAAAAGAGTAGGTAGATGTCTCACATTGTTTTCTCCACTAAAAACTTTAGTCTTTGTGTAGCTTTGAAAATGATAACTAAATAAACACTTATGGATACTTGTGGGATGAATTGATTTTACATGAAATTGGGCCTATGTCCAAAAATTTATTTTAAAGTTTATAATAAATAAATTCAAAATAATATAATTATAAAATTAAATAAATAAAATTAGGTTTAATATCTTTTTTAGTCTTATATCTTAACTTCGAGGTTCATTTGGTCTCTTAACTTTAAAAAAATCTATACTGGTCACTTAACTTTGCAAAATATTTCATATTAGTCATTTTTAGCTAATTAGTGACGAATTTAACGACTGATTTTTGAATTTTTTTCCGTTGCTAATAGGACAAAAATGACTAATATGGAACCTTTTGAAGAGTTAAGGGACTAATATGGACCATTTTTAAGTTAAGGAACTAAAATAAATCCCGAGATTAAGATACGAAACCAAAAAGAATATTAAGTTATGAAATTATTCTATAAAAAATATAATAAATGATCAAAGTCATTAAAATAATTTACATAAATTACAAATATTTTGTAAAATAAAATATAAGTTAAATCATTTAAATATTCAAAAAAAAAAAGTGACATGGACTACAGTGTTGTTGTCGTATCATTAATGACATTGTCAAATGGAGGGCGGCCATGAAAATCTCAAGGGAAGCACGTTGTGGAACCAAAAAATTAGTTTTTAAAATGGAGGGACTAAATTTTAAAAAACTTAAAAATAGGGAGACTAAGAGTGCATTTAAACCTTTTTATTTTTATTTTTAAATATTAAATTTAAATTTAAATTTTGATCAAATAGAGACTAATACTTTTCAAAGTGGAGATTTGAATTTGTCCTAAAATTTATCCCCAAACTTTAACCCGACACCCTTAAGTTTTCCATAATACTCGTATTATCTTTGTCAAAATATTCGATAAAAAAATAAAATTTCTGATACTAATAAAAAAAATTTGGTAGTTTACTTAAAAATTTTGGTGAGCAATTATACTGATTTTTTTTTGAAAAAATCAATGTGAAAAGAATTATCAATTTTTTAAAAAACACTTACATATATTGATTTTTTTTGGTTGCAAAACGTTAAAAAATCTGGAAGTTTACTAGTTTTTTTAAATCCTCGTGCACTTATTTGATTTTAGAGTATCTGCAAAAAAATCAGTAGTGTATTTTTAAGGTTGAGATTTTGCGGATAATTTTCTACAACTGTGATTGCACTAACCGTCTTGTATGGTCTAAAATGAATGCAAACTTGTATAAATAGGGATTATGTGTTGTCAAGAAAAACATCTTACAATGTCTCAATATTATTTATGGCAAAAGTATGCTTTAATGGTGTGAAACCCCCCGTTGGGTTTGGGCTCCCGAAGGGCACCACTAGTCTCGCTCTTCTAAGATCCCAATTGAGTAATACATTATCTGACACCGAGAACAAAAAAGTGAGTAAGATCGAGAATCATAATCAAGATGTTGAAACATCCAAAATCATCTCGTAATGTTTAAGTTTTTTATTTATTATAGTTTTGTTAAGTTATGTAATTGTTTATCTAAAATTATGTTAATTGTCGTGTGTTATGCTATATGACATTTGTAAAAGATTAAGTTATCCTACAATAATGGAAGTGACAAAATGTTATCTAATAAACTGTGTGGTGCAAAAGTCTGAGTAATAGTACGCATAATATACAAATAATACAAAAATGATAACAATGTCTAAATAGGCCCCCCATGGGCTAAGTGTGCTACCTGCGATGCCAAAGTATAAACCCCGTCATCTGGGTTTACCAAACCCATGAGGTTATTAGTGTCTGCTTTCTACGTGTTACTTTATAATGTTTATTTTTAAAGCAAGTGTGTTACATGCAAGTACACATGTATGTTTGATTGCAGCAAGTAATGAAATAAGAGATTGTACTCACAGGGAGTGAAAGTGATTTAGCTTTGAACTTTAAGTATTAAATTCTTGTTTAAAACTAGTATGAGCAAGGTAACAATACACATAATATACAAATAATACAAAAATGATAACAATGTCTAAATAGGCCCCCCTATGGGCTAAGTGTGCTACCTGCGATGCCAAAGTATAAACCCCGCCATCTGGGTTTACCAAACCCATGAGGTTATTGGTGTCTACTTTCTATGTGTTACTTTATGATGTTTATTTTTAAAGCAAGTGTGTTACATGCAAGTACACATGTATGTTTGATTGCAGCAAGTAATGAAATAAGAGATCGTACCCACAGGGAGTGAAAGTGATTTAGCTTTGAACTTTAAAGTATTAAATTCTTGTTTAAAACTAGTATGAGTAAGGCAACAAAATAATAATAGTAATAGCAGCAAGAATTTCACACAACAAGCTAAAATACTAAATAAGATAGAATAAGATATCAGAGAGAATGATTGATGAGTTAGGATCCATTAATATATTATTGTTAGAATATATTCATGATGTGAAGTGTCATGCCTCAAAAGGCCAGAATGTGATCTAGGGGTGTGTCTCTATAACATCAAAGCATGTATAACTAGGGCAAGGGAACAAATCTCTAATCCTCACTTATAACCCTAAAATGTGTCTTGTTTTAATTCTGAAAAATCTTTATGATATCAAATTCTTATCTCTAAACAAGATGAATTAAGTGAATATCTCTATCCTACTTTATTAACCCCTTTTGTTATGAAATCCACATGTTGTTGGATCTCTCTCAACAACATGCTTGTACCTTTTTCTAAGTTGATCATTCTAAGAAGTAGGTGTATAGATTTAAAACACATAACAAAACAAGACATTATTCAACACATCATTTCAACATAAGAACAACTCTATATTAACTTTACTTTGCTCATCAAATACGAGTTTAACTCATAATGAGCTGAGTACAAACTACTGGAATGAAATTACAGGATGGCATATTCTTAGCAAAGTTATGTAAAGAAATGATAACCTAGTAAAACTTTGAAGATCTCGTGTGTTGGATAAACAGCAACAGACTTTGTCAGTCACGACAACTCCAAGCAGCAAATACCAGATTAGATGAGAAGAAGAAAGCTCTCTAATTCTTCCTAACCCTCAAATGAAAATAAACTAATACTAAAAATAATTCTGAATGTGTGTGATTTTTAGCTCGTGGTCTCTCTTGCTCTGATGGTCATGGCTTGATTTTATAGACTTTGAGTATGAGTGTGGAAGTTGATGGGTCTTGGATCATGGGCTTTTGATAAGAATAAGGTTCAGCCCATATAAAATCACTAAAAATTCCAACTATCCATCTTCCCTTCCTGAACAAGTTATCTAGTACATACATCATTGGGCGACAAGGTGCCTTTGGCAGGCTGCTGCAGCAGGTAGTGGCGCAGAGCAGACGGCGGGTGGTTGGGTGCATGATGTGCTTTTGCAGGCGTGGTCCCCATTGTACTACCTTTTGTCCTCAAGCTTCTTTGATCTTATCTTTATGCTCTAGCTCTTTCTTGACATGTGTGCCCTAGTCATAGTCATTCTCCCCAGCTCTTAGTGAATTTGTAGCTAACAAAACTTAATATCTTCCTTCTATTTATCTTTATTCTACTCCAGACTGTGTCTTAAAGTGTCATGCCTTAGCTTTCCTTTATCATATTCTCTTTAAAACAAAAACACACGAAAAACCATAAAAGGTGCATATAATGCACTTAGGGTAAAAACATACTAAAACAAACAAATATAGATAAATCCTACTTAAACCTAACTGATATCATAAGAGAAAATGGATCATCATGACATACTAAAATAGCGTTATCTCTCCCCCAAACTTGAACTATCACTTGCCCTTAGGTGACGCGATAGTGATCGATAAAAGAGATGTTCAAGAACAAAGTAGGATCATATTAATGAAAGGGCTCGGTCATTTACTGGATGAATAGCCTGAGTAGGGAAATAATTGGTGCAACTCAGCCTGTTTTTAGCCCAAAGATGTTATTACCAAAGTGATTAGACACCTCCTGTCACACCACTACTCTTCAGAAGAATGAGCTAATTTTTCTTTATGATTCCCATTTGAGTACTCTTGTGACTTAAGCTTTCTTCCTTTTTGGTTTTGAGGTGGAATTATGCTTCTACTCTTCAATTTTCAGATTCTAGGCTCTAGGAGCTTGTTTCAGGCTATATAAGGCTTTATGTAACTTGTACACCATCCA